ATATATTTTAAATCGAATTGAATCAAGTCAAAGCAAATTAAATTTTAAGTTTAAATTCAGTAACTCATAAACAACTTAACTCATTTATCGGCTTAATCATCGCACAAATAAGATTCTAGTTTTACTTTGTAGCGTGTATAAAGAGGAAAGAAGTGCTCCATGAAAAGAACTAGCCAATGTACATTTTTGGGGGATTCGGAATATCGGATAAGAATGAGATTGTTCATGGAGAAAGGTCTTTGGTTAGGTTCTAAAGCAAGCCGTCACTTATATATTTTCATGTGTCTTGACCCCACCTCTCTTCTTTTTTCGAAGATGAAATCGACCCCCACTTATTTGTGTTTTGGACTTTTGGGTATAACCAAAATTCATTAAGTATTAATTGGGAGTAAACAGTACCATAAGTAGCAATTTCTTCCTTCTCGTGAATGGAAAAAGTTCAACATAGATAAGGTTATAATTTTCTTAATTAGAAGAGGTAAACTTCAATTTGAGTTTAAAATCAAATTTAAATAAATCAAATCAATTTTTAATTGAATTAGCACTTAGAAATTGAAGCCTAAACTTGACTCGTATATAGTATAGGTTATGCCTTAATTTACAGCAGCGTGTAGCATAAATTATTTTACTGTGTAGATAAAGATATACCACCTATTCTAACTGATCTGCTCCGGCTTAAGTGGCATTGGATTCTAAATTAGTACTATTTACTTTTTATGAATTATACATTTGATTTTTACGAAAATTATTTATTTATTTATTAATTATAAATAATTGTAATATATTAAAACAAAAATATACCACCCATTTTTTTTTTGGGTGAAATATATACCACCCATTCGTTGACTAGAAAGCGGAAAGGAGAAATTCGTTCCCACTTGGATAGAATGTAGGACCCACTTCATAATTGAAGCATTCAATTTGCTACATTTTTTTTTTTTTAATGTAGTAGAGTAATTGGTTCAAATAAATTTGTGTGAAAAAAAAGAGAAAGAGAGTCTAAATTCAAATTCTTATTATAAGGCTGTAAAAGTATTTTATATTAATAATAAAATAACTTCAACTATTGAGC